AGATTGCTGTGCTGGCAACACAGTACTAAGCCCTCGTGGTTTGAAAGCAGTGGTTCCTCTCTCTGGCTGGCAAAACCTTTACTTAAAATGAGATGCTTTCTCCTTACGCTACAAGGGGGAGGGAAAAAGTGTTAAAAATGTATCTTTGTCCAGTTTAAGAGACAGACTGAGGCGAAGATGCTGGAGCTGGATGGCAGAGCATGCATACAATAGGCTGAGAATTTTTTTTACTCAAGATTATAACCCAGTCTAGGATCTTGCTGAGCTCAGTCTTCCTTTCCCTGGTACCCTCCCATCTCCAGGGCACAACACACAGGCTGAGAAATGTGGGTAGGAGAGCGGGTAAGGGGAGGCTGCTGAGCGCACAGTTTGCTTTCCTGACTCGGACTGCAGCTCCTGGGGGGCTTTAAGGAAGTTTCTGGAAGGGAAATGGATCAGTTAATTGCTGCGTTAGAGGATCTGTGGCTGTTTTGGGTGCAAGCTGCTCCAGAGCTTAATCACCTCCCTGCTCGGGGCTTTCTGCTTTCATCACCAAACCAAGTGCACACGCAGCACCGGCTGCCTTCTGAAATACATATTAAATATATTAGAGGAAACTCTTCAGGTAACTCTGGCTGTTCAAGCGCAACTCATGCTTTTCTGTTTTTAGGATTAACACCAGAGCACAAACAGGGAAAATGAATCCTGTCCCCCTGCCCCAACCCATGGTCTGCTGAGAGCTGCCTGGAAGATGGATGGTGAATCAGCTCTGGAGGATTTGAAGAGTTGCTGAAACCACGTACGGGGTTTATCAAGCATCTGGACTTGCATCTATGCTGCAAGTTTGCCGACAAATTGCAAGTGCCCTACTGCAACCACAAAGCAGCAGCACATCGGTGCGCAGCACACCGCAACGCGCAGCAGGATCTGAATCTTCTTGGGTGCATCTTATTACCATTTGCGTGGGCTGGATGTGTGGTTGCCTAAGTGTTTTGTTTCATTTGTTTCCCTTCACTTGTATTCATGTGGATGAAAATGCTGTCAAGGAATTGCAAAGCAAAGAGTGAGGTTTCTCCTGTCATCGCCTGTATGCTATTTAGAAATCTTGAGCGCAGAGATGCTGAAAGGGGAAGCTGGAAGTCTCTACCTCAAGATCAAGCCAGATCTTCTCCTTAATGACGACTTCTTTATTCCGCCACTGGAAACCTTTCCAAAATCAATGTGCGTGCAGGGGCAGTGCGAGAGCAGCAGCCAGGTATCGCCACCTCACTCAAACCCTAGTGCAGTCCTTCCATCTGTTCAGAGCAGAGATTTAATCCAAATTCCTTTCCCCTTTTCCTCCCTGTAAGCATGGAAATAGCAGCAGCACTTGCTGGTGACGTGTGAGCAGCACCATGCCGGGGACTTCGGCAACCGCAGCAATGCTGTGTACAGGAGGGCTCTTATCCTTGCTAGAAGGGAGCAGAGTTTAACTGCTGGCAGGCATCAGTGGTCCAGGCAGGTTTTAAATCCTTGAGTATACTGCAACTTTACCAGATGCCACAGGTATCTTGAAGGACGTTATCTTGAAGCGTGCATCAGCGCTGCCTAAATGCTGCAGGGAGATGCTCAGAAGTTAAACGGTGGTTGCAACGTTGCTGTTGGCACTGGTAGAGATGCTCTCCAGGTTGTCCTGTCTGTTAGAGAAGTTCTCCTAATGCAGTGCTAGAGATACAAACACTTGCAGAAAGCAAGTTTTTAAATTCGCACAAATAAGACTTCTCACTCACAACCCCTTTTTTTTGCTGCAATACTATTTAATGTGAGATGGGAACAATTTTTACAGCTCAATTCCAGCACACAGGCACTTTAAATTAGAGGGTAATCTACCTACATCTGTTCCAGAGGCAGCCTTGAATGACTACACACACAACTTTATATTGAATTACATTTGCACCTAGTCACTTCAAGCCCAGTACAGGGCCAGAATATTTTATCAGAGACTCCTGTGCAGCTAAGGATTCTTACTGATTTTTTAGTAAGAAAACTTACTTCACAAGAAATCTATATCTAAGTAAAAGTTTTAAAAAATCAAATATATTCTGTAGCCCTGTTTATCTCATTATCCATAAAAGATTCAAAAATCCAACACAGCTTCAAGCTTTGCTCTTGATTAACTCCCAGCCCACCAGGGACAAGAAACCACAGAACCTGCTTTGGAAAACCGAATCACAACCAAGCAGCACAGTTTGCAAATGAAGTTACAAGGAACTGATGAACTAAGGTCAGCCCATGCAGTAAGGCTAAAGGAGAAAGCCTGACTCCCCTTTGTGAGAGTCATGCAGCAAAAGCGTAGCCCTAAGTCCCACCAAGGCACTGCTGGGCGAGACTTCGGATTCTGTTATGCTTTCAAGGGCTCTTTCAGCCCAGGACACGCTACACATACACACATTGCTTTGCCTCATTACACCAGGATTTACTTCAGTAACCTTTTGGCTTCGGGTGCTTTGGTCATGGAACATGCCGATGCACAAGTGCTGCTGTTGCGCTGCTCCTGGCAGTAAGATGGTGCCTGGAGCCACTCCAATCGCAAAGAGGGGCGCCCAAACCTGCACCCGTCCACTTCGCTTTCCCTCGACTTTACTCTGCATGGCTCTGTGCTTTCTGACTTGAACGCAGGGCAATTCCTTGCACCCCAAAGTTACTAGAACATATTTATTACATAGAGATAAAGCTCTGCTTCAAGATCTGAGAACTGGATATTCCCCAACAAAAGACACTTTTTTCCCCATAAGGAAATCAAATTCACAGCTCTGCAGTTTCTTTTGACATCAGCGGTCATAAGGGCTTGTGTTTCTTACCAAGCCCACATACCCACCTGCTTCTTCCCCTGGCTAGCACATTCCACGTCTCGGCCACCGGGGCTCAAACAAAGCTTCACCTCTACTCCCCAAGTTCTTGTTGCCCTTTTCCTCAGCAGGTCTGAGGATCGGTCACTATTTGATGAAGTCCAGGTGAACTTTTCTATCATTATCGTACTAAACCATCCATACACATGAACACTACAGACTCCCAGTGTGATTTAAACACCCAGTCTCGATGTGGACTTAGCAACAAGCACTGCAGTGGGATGGATGCCTGGAGGCTGCAATGGGTTATGCCTCCTATGAGAGATCCCAGGAGACTTGGGCTCTTTTAAAAAATGGGATTTAGAAAAATGGGAAGAAAGCACACCTATCATCAGACCAACATGCTCCTTCGGAAGGGACCCCAGTAGCAGCTTGCTGTGCTCCAACCGCTCCCTGGCACTTGGCCATGTGCACAGTGTTACTACCCCACATGCCAAACAGACAAGAGACGATTTTCTTCTCTTGAACAGACCGGTACCAAACATCCCCCACAGCATACAAACACAGCGTGTGGCTCGAAGACAACACGCAGCAACTTGTATGTGACAAAGTCCCCAGAAAAAGCCAGTGGGCCTCCAACACAATAGATATGCAGAAGAGAGCAGAGTAAAAAAGGGCATTAATGTCCATCAACAGAAACATATTTTTCTTTCATATGTAACACCCATTAGCAACTCCAAAGAGAACAATCCCCACTCTTGAGCTCTGAAGGAGTACATGGTTTTTCAGCAGACACAATGTGAAGATTTTGCAGAATTCAACAGGACTAATGTGAAAGATTATTTTGCAATTATCCAAGCAATTTTCTCTCCTCATTGTCCCTGGACCATAAGGGTTTTTAAATGTGAGCAGAAGGATTTATTCATCACAATAATAATAAAACGAAATATTAAATCAATGAATCTCTTTGCATGAAGCATAAAGCTCACATTGCTATTAAGCTTAGTAGCGTCCTGTCACATAAACCACATGCAGTTTGCGTACTTAAGTACCATCTCCGTCTTTTATTTTTCCCTTCCCTAATTTGTAAGGCATTATCCTTCCATTTGTCCTCTAAACACAATCGGATTCAGACAACACAGGGTTGCTTCTTGTTAGTGGCTCTATGCCCGTACTCTCTTTATGAGGGCATGTGGAGATTTGTATTTAATATTGATTGTTAACAATGGCCAGTGCAGAAAGTTACGCTGGGATGACAGAGAAGTCCTAAAATAAATACATACATACCTAAGTAATAATTTAGGGAGAAACTAACTCTTTACAAGCAACGCTGCCAATATGCAAGTAAGTAGCTGGGCATGAAAATTAATGTTGGTCTTTGAAGCTGTTGCTTCTTCAGTTTGGCTGGGGAAAAAAAATAATCAACCCAAACTAAGCAAAACTCAATTACAACCTTTGGAGCATGGAAGCTTTTATGGTCATGTTGGCCTTGGCTTATATTTCTTTCTCTGCCACCCCTTGTAATATAAAGTGGTAAGTTACTTTTGAGGCCCTTGCAGTAGGCACGGCTTCAGTGGGTCCCTCTTTTGGTTTTACAAAAGATTTATCTGGTTAAGTGCAGAAGCAGTCACTACTTAGGTATTTGTAAAGTGCCAACTGTCCTCACAGTGTGCCACTTAAAGAGCCTAAGCAAGATTTTCAATAAACAAGAATCTCTAGCTTTAAGCCCCAAGATTCACATTAGGCTCCATACAAGCAATTACTGTTTCATGAGTGCTAAACAGCTGGCACCTCTAAAGATGCCGTATATTTACAATTTAGGCTCTCCTGTGTTTTATAACCCAAAGGCCACCGAATTAATTCTCTCACGACAGCAATTCATCTCACCTAAGTTCACACATCCACAGAGCACAGCCGTCCACCTCAGTCCCCCTTCGAAACTGGTGGAGAGCAACAGGCATTTCTAGAGCATGAGCCATGGCACGCTCATACAAACACCCTAAAATGGGCCAGATGAGTCATACCTTTGATCTTGCTTTTCTCCGCTGATAAAAGGGTCCAGATAAGGTACAGACATCTACAACCACGTGAGATGAATGCTGTCTTAGATGACTTAAGCTGAGCTGACACGCTATAGAACATCTACAACCAACTTTAATGCACAAACCCCACCAGGAAGTGAGACCAAAGTAGCTACGTCTTTCTTACCATGATTGGGACGCCAATGTCTGGCCACAAGAGATCCTCAGAGGGAAGCTTGGGAGAGTTCCACACTACCACAACTTTATTTAAGTATGGGAGACCATTGAGCCTTTCTAGGGAGTTCATCAATACTTCCTCCCGCTCGTAAGTCAACATCACTACTGTGAACTGCTCCCGGGGGACGTTGCCACCCAAAGCAGCCTGGAACTCCTTCCCAGAGCCACCTGCTCCTCCACCAATTGGTCGAAAACCAGTCCCAGACCCCAAAAATTTTGCTTCTGATGGTAAAACAGGGTCAAAGGGAGTGTAGGGGAAGAGGTGGAAAGGCCCCGGAGCAGAATTCCAATTCCTGTAGATGTCCATTGCAGTGAGGGTGAAATTGCGGAGATACTTGGGAGATGCATAGGGTGGTTCTGTTTCCACAGGCCCCAAGTCCAGGTCACCATTGTCTGCCATATTGGGGTCTGTACCAGCAGCTTTGCCAGACCGGTGGGGAATCTCCACGGCGGTTTCTTCTCGGATAGGAGCAGCTGGGATTTGGATCCGAGTCCTTATGATAGCTAAGACTGTGCTGAATACGTTGTCAGAGGTGGAGAAATAGGTCTCCCACAAGAAGCGGCCCTGTCTCCTCATGGCAAGGAGATCATTATCAGAAATGCTTCTCAGAAGAAAGTGCACTTCTGTGATGCGTGGCTTTGGTATGATTAAGGCTGCCTCGTTCCACCGGATCACATCATTGTAGGGTAGCTGAACTTGCTCTCCGAGAACCACCGGGATGGCTCCAACTTCCAGAGCCTCAAACAGTCTCATGGCACACCCCGCGGAGATCACTAAACGGGTGTCCCCTGGGGTGATTATCAGTGCAAAAGTAGATAGCTTCAGTAGCTCTAGTCTGTCATCCCTTTCTCCACACAGAGCCCACTCAGTGGGCAGACTCGCCTTAGGCTGGTTCTTACACGTGAACTCCACCAAAACAAAGTCCAACTTGCTGTCCTGAACAGCCTTCAAGGTGGTGATGATCCGATCGTCATAGTCAGCTGGGGCATTGCCTTCTATTTCCTCTTCAAAAGAGCGAACCTCTTGCAAGCTAGATCTGAGAGACTCGATCTTCTCCCCCTGGAAACTAAACAGATATTTACGTTTGACTGGTACCTGGGGTGGGATTTCTAGGAAGTTGGGTTCAGACATAGCATGGACGAGAGGCGACACCACAATATCAAACCCCGGTCGATACTGCACATCGTAAAAGGTGGACTGGGCAATCATGGCACGCCCTGTGCTGATGTTGTAAATGAAGTTCTGGGTTTCTGATTTCCTTGATAAATTGATGATGAGATGGTTATGTCCATCAGTCCTCCAATATGGCAAAGAGTGCAACTGTTGCTCTAGTTCAGTAGGTTTTGGCATCACGGGCTCTTGCATTTCCCCCACTAAAATTATATACACACAAGCAATATTTGCATTTTCAGTAACATAAACATTAGTTCTGACAGTTGCCTCAAAGGCTTGTTTAATTAAAGGGTCTAAGGAACTACCAAAAGGGTAATCATCACTGTTGTAGACATAGACTGGAAAGCCAGATGTCAATGGGCAGCGCGAGTAGTCAAAGCAGTTGTGTAGCCTGCAGTTCCGATTGGATTTTGGCAGGGGGAAGGTCGCATCGTCTTTGTCTGGCAGCAGCCGGATGGGCAAGGAGAGCTTGGGCTGGTTCTGAGCCATCAGCTCTTTGTAGGAATGCTCGGTCTGGCTGATGACGTTCTTCAGCTGCAGCAGGTCCTGCTTGGCATTTTCAATGCTCTTTTTGCAGGCCTCAATCTTCAAGTTCAGCTTGGCGATCTCGCTGTTGAGCTCCTGCCGCTTGGCCTCCAGCTGGAGCAGCTCCTCGCTGACCGACTCGCGGATGCGGCACAGGTCTTGAACATGCTTTACTTCGCACAGCTCATTGCCGGTCCGAGGGCCAAAGATGCGCTTGCCAGCATCCTCCGCGTCATCGATGGTGGTTAGGTAGTAGTGGGCAATGAGGGGAAAGAAGACGAGGATGATGAAGAGGGTGAAACTAAGCCAGGTGAGCCGGATCCGACTGGACCATCTCAACACCCAGGGCTGGCCTCCATTCCCCACTCCCCCATTTCGCAACATCGTATATCCAGTCATGAGTTCAAAAGTCACTGCGCACCCAATCACGTTGGATCAGTAGCCATAACCAAAAGAGTTTTTATAGCGAGTCTCTCAAAAAAAATGTTATTGTGCCTGCTTAACGAGAAGCCAATAGAAAGGGAATTTCATCTTCTTGTCGTGCTGACTGCTTTTCTACGATCGTTTTGCTGCAGGCGCAACTTTTGATCCCATTAGACTCAATCATCGATCTTCTCACCCACCCCCAGCCCACCCTTAGTCTGCGGGCAACCGCTGGTGGAAGTGTCACAGCGTTGTCATGGTGATTCAAAGTCTCAACCGGCAGAAGAAAAACACAATGGGATCAAGCCAAACTCTACCGCTGCTCTCGACATCGTGCATTACCATCCAATGAATATGCAGGGGCACCAGGCAGTGTGGAGAAGGAGCCAGAAGAGACTCGTACGAACGTCAGTCTCTCTCATCGCTGCTGCGCAGCTGATGCTCTGCCATTCCTACAAGGGAACAATCATATATTCAGACAATGAAAACAAAACAACCCCTCAGTGACCTAAGACATTGCTAGTTTTTAAAAACTGTCCTCTCTGCAAAAAAGCAACCTTTGTACATGTCTAACACCTCCAGGGTTAATGCCAGTACACCTGAGGAAGTGATGGGTTCATTAGATGCAGACACATGGCTTTCTCCAGGCACTCTGCTTTTCATTACGGTTGCACCATTCAGTGGCCAGACCAGAAAAATCACAGCCCCTGGATCTGGTTTCCTATATCTGCCTCTGCCACTGTCTTGCTGTGTAACTTTGCAGAAGCTGCTTAACATCTGCAAGCCCCTGTCTCCTCATGTACAAAATGGAGATATTAATGTATACCTGCTCTCTCTACTCGATTTTGAATGGCATGTTGTGATCCTGGGACACAGCAGCGCTGTGAATTTGTACTGCGTAACCGAGTGTAATCATTATTGTTCTGGTCTAGTGACTAGAGCTGATGAGGAATTTTTAGGCGAAGTGTTCTGCTTTCATTTCCTGCTGGAAAATTTTGATTCACTGCAAGAGAAAGTTTAAAGGGAATGTACTCGTGTTGGTTACGATTACCTCTGCTAGCTGGCTGCATAGGAGAGAGAATTTCTGGTCAAAACTGGAAAAGTCTACACTGTACATCTAAGCAAAGATGCCAAAGTTAGGATCCATTGGATACCACACCACCCAAGCAGTATCAGCTTGCTTGAATGTGCCCTTTTGCTTGGAAAACTCTGCTATGGCACTGAATGCCTACCTAGCATGGGCATTAAAAATCAAGGTCGGGGAAAACTCAGCTCTGAATCTTTGGTCTATGCCAACAGATTGAAATCTAGGCCAGATGAATACACTGCCACTAGAAACTCTGCCTTTCCTTTTATTAGCATCTGCCGAGGTACCTAAGTTTCTGAGATACTCTTTCACATACCAGACTTCCCCCATCACTGATGAATATAGTGTTGGGCTTAGCATCGACTCTTGCACAGCCTCAAGAGAAGCTTATTAATTTCCGCTTCAATTTTTAATTAGAGGAAAGTCATCTACACTGGTGACGGTCATTTTTCACTAAATCTATTTAATACTCCTCTCATCTACTCATCAAAAATTAGCAGAAAGAAAGTGAGGAAGCAAATCTCAGCTAAAACAGAGATCTGGAAACGGGCCAAAGCAAAACAGAAGTTCACCTTAAAGGAGCAGAGAGAAGTCAGGGATAATTTTCAGTGTAGTACACAAGTGCGTGTTGGAAAAAATAAATGGAAGATTTTATTTTAACCAGGAAAAAAACTGGAGTAAATAAAGCACAGTTCCTAGGCCTATTTTGTTACAAGGCCATTTTTGTCAGAAACTTAACACCCCACGATTAAATGTGAATCCCCCCCAACCTGACCCGCAACTGGGAGTTGCACTGCAGTGTGGACATTTAAAATTAAGGCAGATTTAAAATTCGTAACATTGTCTGGCAAACAGGACTGGTGTAAACCTCAGAAATCCAGGAGGATAAGAGGGCTAAAAAGTCAGGAAAAGGCTAAATCAGCTTTCTCAAATCTTGGCAGCACAGTCGCTGCGGGCAGATGGGGGAGGCTTTGGCTCTGCTGGCAGGACATTTTAATAGTATTCTCTGTACACCAACTTGCATTTGCCCAGGCTGGGAGAGAGGCTGGTGATGAATGTAAATCCCCAGTGTTTTTGCGCGAGGCTGTCAGTCAGGCACAGGGAGCCCTGGCAATAGCAGCACACTTGCATCGTGCCTCTGGGACCGCTGCTACACAACAAAAGGGTTTTAGCATACACCCGTGTAGAAATCAGGCAACTGAAGGCAAAAATAAATAATTAAAAAAAGCTTTTAAAGTCTATTTTTCTCCCACCTCCCCCCTTTAAGCTCTCCCCAGGACATGAAGCTCATGCGGTCACTGTCTGTGTGCTTGCACCAGTCAGTCAGTCCCTGCTATTTGAACTGGTCTCACAGAGTCCGCAAAGATCCTAGAATTGCTTCTAGTTTTCTGCAAACAGTTGGCCAGGAGATGAGAGCTGCCCTATTAACCCTTTTCCCATGGGGAAACACCAAAGCATACACTCACTCAAATACCAGTGAATCCAAAAATCATCTTAACTTCAAGGCGTAAGTGGGAAAACAAGCTCTGCTGTTTATTTCTTGGGGGTGCCATGCAGTAAATGTGGTCAGACCCTGCAAAGTGCTGAGACAACACAGAAGCAAGGGATCATAAATGTGGCCAAGAAAGAATGAGGAGATGCATGGATGTGCTGCTTTGGACTAGCCAGAGAAAACTGCAGCCCCACAGGCAGCAAAGGCAGTCCCAAAGCTGAGACTGCATCTAAATCTCTGAGACTGCATCTAAATCTTGTACCTTTCTAGTTGCTTTGCCCATTTATGAGCCCTAAACAGTGATGAAATGGCAAACTGGACTCCCTAAAATGGCAACTGGGATCCTTGAAAAGCTAAATCCATTGCTGCACACATGATCCTCTGCAGCTGTTCCACCACCTAATCCTTCCAGTGGCTCCTCTGGTCCTTCCACCCAGTTGACACAGAACAAACTTTATCCTCCTGATCTAAAAATGTGGGCTGTGAATTAAAAAAAATCTGTATGTTCAGAAAGCTGAAGCTGACAAACTAACTCTGCTGCTAGCTGGGAAAAGACCACAGGGGAAAGACCAGAGCAGGCTAGGGAGGGATTTAAAATGCAACACGTGTGGCTTGGGATCAGTTAAAAGTATTGACTGTCAGTATGAAATATGTGCTGGCAATAAAGCAAGCACTTTAGACACACTCTCAGACTCTTCTTCTTTACTAAGACTTTATTCCTCATCAACTTGATAGAGCTTGAGGTTGTAACACATTGTTATTAAGACTTAAAAAAAAGGGGGGGGTATAACAGTTTTTTTGTGGAAAAAAAAAAAAAGGGGGGGGGGGGGGAGCGCAAAGTAAAAACCCAATCTGTGGTTTTACCAGCAGATACTTCAGTGCTGTACTTAAGAGCAATAAGCAGCCCTGGGGAAAAAGGCTGCTGATTTCCAGAGTTCCCAAAAGGAAGTCTCGGAGAAGGAGGGACGGGTTAGTTGCTGGGCTCTCCAGCCAACTCATTCCTGTCACTCTCAAGTACTATCTAGTCCTTTAAACTGATGAGCCCCACACTGAGAAACTCTTGTTGACGTTCTAACACAATGTTGCTGCCTGGTAGACCTAATTACACACACACACAAAAAGAGGTAGGAAGAGCTCTTGGGAAATCAGAAGCTCAATAATTACCAGAGCCTCTTCCCAAATGCCAATCTGACCGACTTCTCAGGCATGACAGATTTGCACGCTGCAATTCATTCTCCCACGGCACAGGGCTGCGAGACTAAATTGCTGTGCAGGCACATTGTCACATCTTAGCTCAAATCCCAGGCTGCATTCCCAGCTTTCCTCAGCTCCACAGTGGGTGCTCCCCATGCCGGTGAAGTTATGGGAATACCTGAAATTCTACCTCATTTTGCTTTCTAGTAGAAAAAGCCAGGCTGGTCTGATCTGTGGATGCTCGCCAAAGTCCTTCTGCAAGCACCTGGGCACACCTATTCCTCCCTGCTTACACCTTCTTTTGTCCATCTCCCTATATAACAAGGGAAATATTGCTCCTTTCTCAGCATATTTGTGAAAAGACATTGGAAACCTTAAACTTATGGTCGTCCAGAGCACAGCACAGCAATAAATTACCATCAGACAGAATATGGTGACACAGAATATGCACTAAACTTTCCAGGAGAAAAATCTACAGGGATCCTGTGTTCGCTAAATCAGATTTCCCAAACTGTCTCTATGCACCCATACTCGTCCTTGCACTCCTCCTCATCAAATAATGGGTCTACAGTGTCACTGCTGCTATGTTACCTCCACAAACCTTCTGTTTTTCTGGCCCTCTCCATGGAGAGCGAAGCACCATACCCACCTCTGTCATGCAGGCTCCCTCTTGATGAACAGCGAAAGATGTCAGGGGGTGCGTGTTAGTGGCTCCTGCGCTTTATCTGTCCAGTCTTGAATAGACAGTTTCTATTGTCAAGTCTCTTTTTCACCAGCACTAAAAATGAAATCAAAGGGAAAAAAAAATCATCTTTTTTTTGTAAAAGGAGAAGCAGAAAATTTTACTAAAAAAGGAAAATACAGCATATTCATCCCCTTCAGAAAGACGTTTCTGAAAAAGAAATGAACACAAAACAGTCCTTCGGTGATGATAACTTTCTTGTTCCTAATGCTCTCAAAAAAAAAGGATTACACCCCAAACCTCCGATCACTTTCGGAACAGAAGCATTTGGAGGATTTTTCTTTTGCAGTTGAACAAGGAGAATAAATCTATTAGGTGTGTGCTTTAAGGTACATTTGAGAGCACATCTTTAAATGGAGCAGATGGAAAATTCACTCTGAAATGCTTTGCGTGCTGCAGCCTGAGGGATCATCACGAGGGATTTATACCACCTCAAGAGCTCACAGGTACAGAGAAATTCT